ATGTACTCTCCAGCGCCTCAGGATATGCAAAGCCAAGGGTACCAGGAAAGCGAAAACCAAAGAAAATGCTTCAGGGGTGCAGCCCTCCTCAGACGGGGAAATCAGCCACTGGATAGAGAGAAAACAGGTGGCGCACACACCTAGTGCATTATCCAAGGTTTATTGTAGGAGTGAAAGAATAATAAAAACATACTCACAGACGAAGCATGTATCTAAAAAGCATAGAAAAATGACAATGGCCACAACGGCAGGCGAGGTGTTCTCACTATCAGTGCGGTCAAATGGCTGACGCGTTTCGGGGACAAATCCCTTTTCTCAGAGCTGATGACCAACCTGTATGCTTGTTATAAGAGATGAGGGGTTGGAGGGGGTTATTTAAAGTGCAATCTTTTGTAGTTTTTTATAAACGCATATACATACATATATACACATATAAACGCACTGTGTATATGTATATGCATTTATAAAAACTACAAAAGATTGCACTTTAAATAACCCCCTCCAACCCCTCATCTTATAACAAGTAGAGGAGGTGGAGCTTTGCTCCCAAGGCATATAGCCCTGGTTATATACTACTTGACCTCCATACAGCTTGGTCATCAGCTCTGAGGAAAGGGATTTGTCCCCGAAACGCGTCAGTCATTTGACCGCACTGACAGTGAGAACACCTCGCCTGCCGTTTGTGGCCATTGTCATTTTTCTATGCTTTTTAGATACATGCTTCGTCTGTGAGTATGTTTTCATTATTCTTTCACTCCTACAATAAACCTTGGATAATGCACTAGGTGTGTGCGCCACCTGTTTTCTCTCCTTAATGTTCCCCTATGTGTCCATGTACACATCGTCCTTTACAGGCAGTTGAGTTTACTGTCGTTAATTTAAACGCAGAAAACTTGCGATCGGCAGTCGATTTTATCAGCATTTCAAACGCAAACCGCTTGTAAACGCGGCAAATCGTGTTTCTAAGCATTTGCGTCTGAAATTTTTTTTTTTTTTAACTCTTCCAGTTCCCGATGCTGTCCAGAGCCTTTTTTCATCATGAAAAATGCATGCAAAGCGATTTCAAGGTACTCAATTGGACAAAACACTGAACACAGGATGTTCCTACCAAGCTTGTCACACATGGTAATGACCAATTCACACCCTAGACCTCTCCCACCCTTGGAAACAAGATATGTCCGTGATTGAGTGATGCGGCCTGTGTGGGCGGAGCCTGTACACCCACTGTGCCCATTATGAGGGGTTCCCACCAACCCTGTGCTGAGTTCCTGGGTCTGTACACTTGCTGTGCCCATTATGAGGGGTTCCCACCATTCCTGTGCTGAGTTCCCGGGTCTGTACACCTGTTGTGCCCATTATGAGGGGTTCCCACCATCCCTGTGCTGAGTTCCCGGGTCTGTACACCTGCTGTGCCCATTATGAGGAGTTCCCACCATCCCTGTGGTGAGTTTGTGGATCTACACATTTGCTGTGCCCACAATCTCAGAAAATGAGAATATTCCATGCAATCAATAAAACACGGATTGTACATAGAACAATATCGGACTTCTGAAAAGTAGAAGCTGCATATGTACTCAGTACTTGGTTTGGGCCCCTTTTGCAGCAATTACTGCCTCAATGCGGCGTGGCATGGAAGCTATCAGCCTGTGGCACTGCTGAGGTGTTACGGAAGACCAGGATGCTTCAATAGCGGCATTCAGCTCTTCTGCATTGTTCGGTCTCATGTCTCTCATCTGTCTCTTGGCAATGCCCCATAGATTCTCTATGGGGTTCTGGTCAGGCAAGTTTGCTGGCCAATCAAGCACAGTAATCCCACGGTCATTGAACCAGGTTTTGGTGCTTTTGGCAGTGTGGGTGGTGCCAAGTCCTACTGGAAAATGAAGTCAGCATCCCCATAAAGCTCATTGTGGAAGGAAGCATGAAGTGCTCCAAATTCTCCTGGTAGACGGCTGCGTTGACCCTGGACTTAATGAAGCACAGTGGGCCAACACCAGCAGATGACATGGCTCCCCAAATCAACACAGACTGTGGAAACTTCACACTGGACTTCAAGCATCTTGCAGTGTGTGCCTCTCCATTCTTCCTCCATACTCGGGGTATTTGTGCCCCTCCATTCTTCCTCCATACTCGGGGCCCTTGGGCCTCTCCATTCTTCCTCCATACTCGGGGCCCTTGGGCCTCTCCATTCTTCCTCCATACTCGGGGCCCTTGGGCCTCTCCATTCTTCCTCCATACTCGGGGTCCTTGGGCCTCTCCATTCTTCCTCCATACTCAGGGTCCTTGGTTTCTCTCATCAGAAAAGAGGACTTTGGACCACTGAGCAGCAGACCAGGTCTGTTTTTCTTTAGCCCAGGTAAGACACACTTCTGACGTTGTTTGTTGTTCAGGAGCGGCTTGACAAGAGGAATACGACATTTGAAGCCCATATCAAGGATCAGTCTGTGTGTGGTGGCTCTTGATGCACTGACTCCAGCCTCAGTCCACTCCTTGTGAAAGTCCCCAAAACTTTTGAATGGCCTTTTCCTGACAATCCTCTCCAGGCTGCGGTCATCCCTGCTGCTTGTGCACCTTTTTCTTTCACACTTTTCCCTCCCACATAACTTTCTATTAATGTGCTTTGATACAGCACTTTGGGAACATCCAACTTCTTTTGCAATTCCCTTTTGAGGCTTTCCCTCCTTATGGAGGGTGTCAATGATGGTGTCAGGTCAGCAGTCTTTCCCATGATTGTGATTCCTACTGAACCAGACTGACAGACCATTTAAAGGCTCAGGAACCCTTTGCAGGTGTTATGGCTGAATGAGCTGATTAGAGTGGGACACTTTGAGCCGAGAATATTCCACCTTTTCACAATATTCTCATTTTCTGAGATTGTGGATTTGGGGTTTTCATGAGCTGTAAGCCATAATCATCACAATGATGACAAATCACGGCTTGAACTATCTTGCTTTGCATGGAATGAGTCTCATATATTAGTTTCACCTTTTAAGTTGCTGCACTGAAATAAATGAACTTTTGCACAATATTCTAATTTTTTGAGTTTCACCTGTATACAATGTTACAGTAAATACAGATAAAAGACAGTTTAAAAAACAATCCACAATTTCAGTATAAAACCAGAAGCAATATATTTTTTTTTTATTAACACTTAAAAATGTTTACACCATTCTGAAACAAAAAAAAAACAAAACACTGCAACCCATAGTAGCAAAATAGAACAGGAGTCATTACACAGATTGAAGCAGAAAACCCATCTGCAATGTTTGTGGGTTTTGCTGTTAGTGGACATGAACGTCTGGCTGATTGTCAGCATAAATCTGAAGGTAAAGTCTCATAGAGGTCAGCTAGCTTGAAGCAATTGTTAGTACTTCTGTCCGGGTCAGAGATAGTTGTCAACTTGAGTGCATTGGTAGTACTGAAATCTGATGATACTTTGTCAGCCTAAAACAGGACTACCCCCCCCCCCCAATAACCAGGTGATAATATATTACCCCCCCAATAACCAGTGTGATAATATATTACCCCCCCCCCCCCAATAACCAGGTGATAATATATTACCCCCCCCCCCAATAACCAGGTGATAATATATAACCCCCCCCCCCCCAATAACCAGGTGATAATATATAAACCCCCCCCAATAACCAGGTGATAATATATTACCCCCCCCAATAACCAGGTGATAATATATTACCCCCCCCCCCCAATAACCAGGTGATAATATATTACCCCCCCCCCCCCCAATAACCAGGTGATAAATATATAACCCCCCCCCCAATAACCAGGTGATAATATATAACACCCCCCCCCAATAACCAGGTGATACGTAATATACAGTATTACTTATTATCACCTGGTGATCCTGCCGGTAACAGACCTCCCATCCTAAAAGTGACAACGCTCACTTACTCTACCGTGTCTCTGGAGGAGAAGCTTTGTCAGCCTAAATCAGGACTACCCCCCCCCCCCCTTCCTCCAATAACCAGGTGATAAGTAATATATATTACCCCCCACCCCCCCAATAACCAGGTGATAATATATATAACCCCCCCAATGAGCACGTGATAATATACCCCCCCCCCCCCCCCCCCCCCAATAACCAGGTGATAAGATATTTCCCCCCCCCACCCCCCCAACAACCAGGTAATATATTATCCCCCCCCCCCCCCCCCCCCAATTACCAGGTGATAATATATTACCCCCCCCCCCCCCCCCCAATAACCAGGTGATAAGTAATATACAGTATTACTTATCACCTGGTGATCCTGCCGGTAACGTACCTCCCATCTTAAGAGTGACAACGCTCACTTACTCTACCGTGTCTCTGGAGGAGATTTGTCAGCCTAAATCAGGACTACCCCCCTCCCCCCTTCCTCCAATAACCAGGTGATAAGTAATATATCACCCCCCCCCCCCCAATAACCAGGCGATAATATACTACCCCCCCCAATAACCAGGTGATAATAATATATTACTTGTCACCTGGTGATCCTGCCAGTAACAGACTTCCCATCCTAAAAACGGGTAAAAGTCATTTTCTTTTTTTAACTTAGTGATCAAATAGAACAAAACCATTTCAGCTGTAGATTTAACAAGCCAAAAAACAGAAGCAAATAAAATAAATTCATTGTTAGGGATTTAAATAGCCTTCAATCACCTGCCCTGTATGGCCCGGTCATAGAGAAGTGTTACCTTAGCACAGGCCACTTTACTGCTGCAAAACAGAACGCACCATAGTCACCCAGCCACTAGCTAGCAAGGCATTCTGGGACCTACGGTTCCTAACAGCTATAGGGCCAAAGCAAATGTAAGCCAATCCATTGCTGCTTTAGGGCGTTAATACTTTAATTTGGCATTTCTGTGTTGGCTCACATTGGGCGGTTATGTTGATTGTAGCCAGGCTCGCCCTTCTCTTCAAAAGCAGCCCAAATGACAGATCTCTATCAGCTCCCAGAATCATTGGGCGCTTCTACCTACAATCCTCTGCAGCACATCAGATGACATCACTGCAAGCCACAGAAGTAGTTATGAACAGGGATGGCCACGGCTCCGGAGAGGGATATTCCCAGGGTGTCCGACACGCAGGCAGCCGCCATGGCGAACTCCTTCTCCTCCGGTTTACTCTGTGGGACAATGTGAAATCAAATGTCAGATAATAACAAACATTTATCAAAGTGTAGAAAATAAGTCACCATCAAACCATCCTCCAGTGGGGACCCCCCCTTCTGGTGACAATTAAAGTTGAACTCCAGAAAACCTAGAATTTCCCCTTTTCAGTGGAGCTGTGCTTGCACTGCGTTAAAAGGTTTGTTTGTTTTTATTTTTTTTGGAAAAAAAAAAAACAAAAAAACACGTCTATACTTACCTGCTCTGCGTAATGGTTTTGCACAGAGCAGCCTGGATCCTCTTCTCGGGTCCCCTGCATGCTCTCTTAGTTCTTCTATTCTGTGAGGTGCCCCCATAGCAAGCAGCTTGCCATGGTGGCACCCGCTACTTCTTGTGTCCATTCACACACAGAGCTAGGGCTTGGCCCCACCCCCTCTCTCCTCATGGGCTGACTTTCTGTCTCAGCCAATGAAGAGGCAGAGACCAGGAACAGCTGAGGCTGTCTTGCACATTGCTGGATCTCGATGGGGCTCAGGTAACTATTGAGGGGGCTGGGGGCACTGCTGAAAACCTTCATGCATAGAATCCTTAAGGACTGATCCCCCCACTCCCCATTACGGATTGGCACCTTTGGACATCCGGGGAAATGGGTTGTGGGGGACACACTGCGGGACCGGTAAGTGGCTGTTTTTTTTTTTTTTTTTAAAAGTCAGCAGCTACAGTTTTTGTAGCTGCTGACTTTTACTTTTTGACAGGGGGAGTGGAACTCCGCTTTAAGCAATACCCATTTTTATCTGGGTTTCCAACAATCGCAATCACTGGCTATATGGCACACCCGAATAGACTACAAGTCCCAATATGCATCTTCATCTTGAAGAAACATAGGACATTTACTAAAGTGCAAATAGGAAATTATAAGTGCACATTAAATATTATAAAGGATGGACTTTAACAAATCAACCTTCCATCATTGGTCCCCATGGACTAAGCCATTAAAAAAATGGACTGGTCAACCGTGCAACAAGATTACAGCCTTCATGGATAACTAAAAGAAACATTAAGAGCAGGGATCTGATTGGCCGCTACAGACAGCAGGTACTGATGTAGGACAAGCATGCTGGAACTCACCTCTACTGCAATGTTGTTGAAAGTGTTGACATATGCAGCGCCCCCCAGCAGCCCCTCAAATAATATAATTGCAAAAATTCCATACAACGTGAACTTGGGGAGGAAGAGGTAGTACACTCCGATCAGGAGGAAGGTGGCCAGTCCACACTGAGGAAGACAAACATATAAAAAGGTTATTGGCTTAAGAAAAAAAAAAAAAAAAAAAAAAAAAAAAAAAAAAAGAAGATCTCTAATGCTGGCCACATGCATGTCGGTCCATTATGGCAGGATCACCAGTTATTTTAAATAATCCTGCAGATCTAAAAATATTGATAGCTTTTTATGATGACATTGACATGTTAAAACTTCTATAAAATTTTAGTGATGGAATTTAGATACACCTTACTTTAGTAGCCTGCTGCACTTCTGTGAAACGTGTTAACCTACCTGGAGACATGCAAGGACCCAGATGTGTCTAATAGTGACACAGCGAACAGACGATCGAGATATAAACACTCCGGCCTGGTACAGCATCTGATACCTGAAAAGGAGACAAACCAGATGACAGACAGATTGGGGGGGGGGGGTTCTCCATGTATAATACATAAGGGGGGGATATGATCTCCATGTATAATACATAAGGGGGTGATATGATCTCCATGTATAATACATAAGGGGGGGGGGGTGATATGATCTCCATGTATAATACATAAGGGGGGGGGGATATGATCTCCATGTATAATACATAAGGGGGGGGGGATATGATCTCCATGTATAAGACATAAGGGGGGGGATATGATCTCCATGTATAAGACATAAGGGGGGGGGGGGGGGGGGATATGATCTCCATGTATAAGACATAAGGGGGGGGGATATGATCTCCATGTAGAATACATAAGGGGGGGGATATGATCTCCATGTAGAATACATAAGGGGGGATATGATCTCCATGTATAATACATAAGGGGGATATGATCACCATGTATAATACATAAGGGGGGGGGGATATGATCTCCATGTATAAGACATAAGGGGGGGGGGATATGATCTCCATGTATAAGACATAAGGGGGGGGGGGGGGATATGATCTCCATGTATAAGACATAAGGGGGGGGGGATATGATCTCCATGTAGAATACATAAGGGGGGGGATATGATCTCCATGTAGAATACATAAGGGGGGATATGATCTCCATGTAGAATACATAAGGGGGGATATGATCTCCATGTATAATACATAAGGGGGGATATGATCTCCATGTATAATACATAAGGGGGGATATGATCTCCATGTATAATACATAAGGGGGGATATGATCTCCATGTATAATACATAAGGGGGGATATGATCTCCATGTATAATACATAAGGGGGGATATGATCTCCATGTATAATACATAAGGGGGGGGATATGATCTCCATGTATAATACATAAGGGGGGATATGATCTCCATGTATAATACATAAGGGGGGATATGATCTCCATGTATAATACATAAGGGGGGATATGATCTCCATGTATGATACATAAGGGGGGATATGATCTCCATGTATAATACATAAGGGGGGATATGATCTCCATGTATAATACATAAGGGGGGATATGATCTCCATGTATGATACATAAGGGGGGATATGATCTCCATGTATAATACATAAGGGGGGATATGATCTCCATGTATAATACATAAGGGGGATATGATCTCCATGTATAATACATAAGGGGGGATATGATATCCATGTATAATACATAAGGGGGGATATGATCTCCATGTATAAATACATCAGTGGTTCATATAGTGAACTCGGTGTAGAGTTATTCCCCCTGAGGTCATCACAGAGGTCAAGGGGGGCGCTCTTTACTTCGGGAGGAAAAGAGATTTAATCTCCAAACATGGAAAGGTTTCTTCACAGTAAGAGCTGTGAGAATGTGGAATAGACTCCCTCAAGAGTTGGTTGTGGCCAGCTCAGTGGATTGCTGTGGGAAAGTCCTGGATTCTTTCTTGGATACACAGAATATAACTGGATATAACATTTACAGGGAAAGTTGATCCAGGGAATATCCGATTGTCTCTTGGGGGATCAGGAAGGAATTTTTTTCCCAGCAGGAGCAAATTGGATCGTGCTTTGCTGGGTTATTTGCCTTCCTCTGGATCAATTGCGTGCATAGGATAACTATTTTTTTTTTATAGTTGAACTGGATGGACTTTTGTCTTTTCAGCCAGACTAACTATGTAACATTAAATAACGCAAACAATAGGCAATACGCAGTATCCTATACCAACCAATCCGCGTTCAGCTTACACAGACCTACCTTCCCTTGGTTTGTCTCACTTACGGCACTTTGCACATTTAGGGGTTTATTTACTAAAGACAAGCGGAATTTGCACTCTGCAAGTGCAGTTGCTCCAGAGCTTAGTAAATTAGGTGAAGCTTCACTATGCAAAAAAATACCCAATCACACGCAAGGAAAAGAAAACAAAACTGCATTTTTGCTTGCACATGATTGGATGAAAGTCAGCAGATCCTCTGCTTATTTACTAAGCTTTTGCACAGTGCAACTGTACTTTGTAAAGTGCACAGTCTATTTGCCTTTAGTAATTCAAACTTTACGTGTCTCTGCCAATGGTCTTTTGTTCACTTCAGACAAGTTTTGCATTCTCATACAAGTCTATGAAAACGTAAAACACGTTTGAAGGACGACAATTGTAAGTCTGTGGCACCTACCAATGAATTCTTTAGTGCAGAAAAGGCATGCTATGTACACTGAACGGTGTATTCACAGCTCACTGTACATTCATGACATGCTCCTCAGGTGCTGGGTTCAATCAACTTCTACACATACATAGGTGTTACACCAACCCTCGTTCATCAATCAAGACGGCAGAGACATGCTATGTACACTGAACGGTGCATGCACAGCTCACGGTACATTCATGACATATGCTCCTCAGGTGCTGGGATCAAATCAACTTCTGCACATAGGTGTTACGCCAACCCTCTTTCATCAATCAAGACGGCAGAAGAGACAGCATCCAGATGACAGAAGCCAGGGTGAAGATATCAGCAACTGAGGGGGAGCTCACAAATTTTGCATAGTTGGTGACATGACAGACCAAGGCTTGAGAAGGTTAGAGATTGAGTCAAAGAAATTGACTTACCATCTGTACTGCTCTGAGTGGCTCATAGTGATGTGAGGGAAATAAATTAATTCAAACTAGGAGAAAAAAATAAATAAATAAATCACACAAATAATGATTTATTATTAGCCAGCACTGATTCAATGCTCTGTTTCCCACCACCACCGAAAAGCCGTACTCACCAGGCCCTGGTTAATGAAGTATTCGGCAAAATACACCAGAGACAGGGGAATCATATACTTCAGTAGAGACTGCAAGGAACAAAAAAGGTAGAGACTGCATGAGACACCAAACATAGAAATATAGAAAGGTGATGGCAAAAAAAAAAAAAAAAAAAAAAAAAAGAAGAAGACCTAGAGGTCCATGGAGTCTGCCCATTTCTTTTTTGTCTTAAAATTTATAGATTTTTTGTATTTTTTATTACTTTTTTGCCACCTCTCCAACCACTATCATACTTACATAGGTTGAAAAAAAATGTATATGGTCTTTTCAGTTCAACCAATTAAGGAAAAACAATGAACAGATATACATTAAAGATTGATCCAATTTGCTCCACCAAAGGAAAAAAAATTGATATTCCCAGGATCAACAATCTCTGGTGTTATCAAATGTTAACAGCCATTTACATTTTGTGCATTCAAAAATCTCTTGTATGGTTTCCAAACCTCCGGCTTCCTCACCATGTCTGGGTGAAGCCTTGTACCCCCATGCCAATGATCATACATCTCTACCAGACAGCCACTAATGCTTATCCTCCTTTCCCTTTCAACACCTCAGACATGTAATCTGAACAAAGCGCACATTTCCAAAGTGTTTACTTACCCCTCTCCAATGCTGTTTTTGGGTGTGGAGGTCCACTAAACCAGGACTGCAGATGTGCCTGGATTTCCTTTTCTCATGCCAGGAATCAGAGAGGAGTGTGGGATAGGAGAAGTCTAGAGATCAGCTTCAAATGTATCCTCTACACACTGAAAGTGTTAAACTGGCCATAGACACTTAAAATCTGTGCCAGTTCAGCAGGGACCTGCTGAGATTCGAAACATGTGAGGGCAGGCTGAATGTACCAAAGTAGATCAATTGATCAACATGGGTACAACCAGCCTGTCGAATTTTACATGCGATTATTGCTGGCGGCTATTATAGCTGCTAGCAGTAATCACTATGCTCTTCTGGTGGGAACAGCTAACCCCTCCCCCTAACCTACATGCCACGCCTGCCGGGAGAACACAGTATTTCCATGGGAGGGATTACTCCATCAAACACAGTCAGCGACTCGAGTGTTTTTTTTTTTATAAATATAAAAGTCCCCCTCCATCTATGGCCAGCTTTGACACTGGGCAACTAGTATTTTCAGAATGTAAAGCCAACCTACATATTCTCACAATGCAGGTTACCTTTGATACTGTTAAAGTATTCTTGTCTCACCTTAATTATTTTCCACTTTTGAAAGAGCGTCAGACGAGGACCTGTAAGAATACAGCAACAGTCACCCAAAACTCATATGAAATATAAGTAAAGTTCATTTTAGCATTCAAATAAGGTGAAGATGATCGGTTTAATATAGAGAGTTGTACCATATTGTATGTATTGTATGTATAGTAATTAGTCAGTGGCTATCAGGTACCCCCGCTCAACCATGAGGTTTCATAAAACAGTCTATAGATTCAGTTTTTCAACCAAAGTATGTACGATGAAGGTATGGAACTCAACCATAGAACGATTGTTGGTGGCAGATGCAGCATATGACAAACTACAGTCCTCCTGGGATTTGTACAGTATATACAGAATGAAATGAAAACATCCAAAGAGTGCCAGTTCTGTGAGGAAAAACATCTCGCCAATGAAAAAGCTCAGAGAAGAATGGCCAGATGTGTGCAAAGGGACAGAAAGTCCACAGTTTTAATTCCACCGCTCTGCAAGCACCATCAAGTAGATCTGAATATTGTATCTCACATCCATATTATCAGTACTCTTCTTCTTTACACACCATTATAGCGGACAGCTCTTGTGACAGATAGGGATTTGCTGCAGCTTTGTGGAGAGCCGTGATCGGGAATGGTGAGACCAACTAGAGTGTTCCTTTTGCTGTACGAATCACCAAATTGTGGCCTGCGTGTCAGATGCAGCCCTTTGCTTACCTTTATCTGGCCTTGGGGCAGTATTCCTTCAATTGGCACCAACAGTGGGGCATAATTCCTCCCACTTATATAAAATGATAGAACACTAGTCATTCCAATGATACCAAAGGGGGGACACTATTCCTCCCACTGATACCAATGATGGGACACTATTCCTCCCACTGATACCAATGATGGGACACTATTCCTCCCACTGATACCAATGATGGGACACTATTCCTCCCACTGATACCAATGATGGAACACTAGTCTTCCCACTGATACCAATGATGGAACACTAGTCTTCCCACTGATACCAAAGGGGGGACACTATTCCTCCCACTGATACAATGATGAGACGCCATTTCTTTCACAGACAACAGTGATGGGACACCATTCCTCCCTATAATACCATTTATGGGTCACTATTCCTCCTACTAACCACAGGCACTATGTAACTGTTGGACTCCCACTGACCACCAGACCCCAGGCATTGTCTACTCCTGCTGATGCTGGGGAAATTTGTACTCCCAGTAGCCTTTTTCCAACTCAAAGATTCTGTTTTTTGAATATTCAATCTTTCTGACTTTTCGGTGGTACATCTTTCACTTGGATGTTATAAGTTGACCTCAGTGAATATAGCTCGATAAAACAAACTTTGTCTTACTTCATTTCAGATTGAAAAGCAATAAAATGTCATTATTCATCATTTAAAAAAAAGGGGGGGGGGGGGCAATTCTTTGATACCCACTGTACAGTAATATGTGCTTCACAGGGCCAGGACAAGAAGTCAACAACTTACTCCTATAATTGCTCTTTACAACTGTGGTTGAGAAAATCTCCCTAGAGGGGAACAGCGATGAAAACCTCAAAGTGGTTCTAATTCTGCATGCAAGTTCTGGTAGCAGCTGTACATTAAAACCAATTTTTTTAGGTTTCAGTGGAGTGTGTGGATGTCTGTGTCCATGTTGGGGAGATTTGCCCTCTCTGCTTGTCCTAGTGGTCAGTGTTACTGAATGTAAGAGGAAATCTTCCAGCGGGAACACTATTCAGGTGACAACTGACTAAGAAAGGACTTACTTTCCTTTTGAAAGATTTGTTGTGCGCACAGGGCAGTAAGTAAAGAGCAGTCTCCCCAAGGTATGGCTTTAAAGGATTAGTTCACCTTTTCAGAAAAAAATAAAAAAAAAGTGATCTAACATTGTATAGACCCCCTACCTATGGCCTGCACTTTTATTCATGGGTGGTAAGCTGTCAATGCCCATGCAGCCAGTGCAGCGGTCCGAAGCTTTGAAATCCCCACTCTTCTCCCTTTTGTTTCAGCAGCTCTTCCAGGACAGATCAGAACGATGCTGTGTGCCGATACTGACCAATCAGAAATTGCTCTGATCCATCCTGGAAGCGCAATGCTACACTGGCTGCATAGGCACTGGCAGCTCATCATCCATGGAAGGAAATACAGCAGGGACAAGGGTGATGGGGAGGGCGTACGGTTTTAGTTTTTGATTTTTTCTGAAAAGGCAAACTTACACTTTAAACATACTGTTAACTATCTGCTGCAGTACAGTTCTATGGAGCAAAGAGTACCTGTCTGCTGGAGAGCGCATCCATTCAGCAGGGGTCGCTGGTGAGCTGGGATGTAGCTTTTGCTGAACCTTTCTGGAAAGCTCCAACAAGGAAGAGAAGGTGGTGGTAGCAAGAGGATAAAATAACTGAAACAGAGAAGACCATGAACCTTCAGTTTTTATTTTACCCAGGAGGTTCCCACAGGGTGTTTTTTTTATAGGCACCAGCAGCTTCTTTAGCTACAAAGATTCTATAAAACTTTATCCAAAATTTTTGATTGTATCAGGTTAATCCAAACATGTGGTTAACCCAGGGGTGGGCAAACTTTTTGACTTGAGGGCCGCAATGGGTTCATATATTGGACCCGGGGGCCGGACCAAGAGTAGATGAATGATGATGTGTATGTGTCATCCATAGTAAGTATAGTAATATTCCCCCATAGTAAGCATAGTAATTCATCCCCCATATAGTAATTCATCCCCCATATAGTAATTCATCCCCCATATAGTAATTCATCCCCCATATAGTAATTCATCCCCCATATAGTAATTCAATTTACTTACCTTTGCTCCGCGCGTTCCTCTCGCCGTGTTCCCGCGCCGTTCCGGTCTTCAGGGCGGACTGTGAGAGGAGCCTAGCTCCCCTCACGTTCGTCACGCTGCCCCGCCTACACACATCCTGACAGCCATCCTGACAGTAACGCTCCGCGGGCCGTAGTTTGCCCATTGCTGGGTTAACCTGATACAATTAATTCACACAGGAGGTGTCCAAGTCCTATACTCACCTTATCAGTAGCAGCGCGGGGATAATCAACATGACCAGCAAGGAGCTCCGGGGGGACAGACCAGCCGCTGTGAGTCCCAGATAGGAGAGGGCACCCAGGATACCAGCACCGCCTGTCCCAGAGGACCAATAAGACACCACATCACTGGTGGGAAGACACATGGGCCAATCAAAAAAAGGTAAGAAGAGGGGGGAGAAAAAAAAAAAAAAAAAAAAGAAGGATTATACATGTATAGAGAACATTGGTCATTTGTAGACAGGGCACAAACTAACCATACAGAGGATGACTGCTGAAAACAGTTATATTTTACAATCTATATCTGTGAAGGTTTTCATTCATGCTATACCTAGTGGGAGTTAGTCATAATCAACTGGACTGGTCCTAAAATGCTGAAGTTTTGTAGCTCCACCAAGCTATTTCAGTTCTAAGGAATGTTAGAAACATACCCCAACATTGATATCCACCCAGGTAAACAGACACCTTAATCCAATCACCATGGAATGTGCTTAGGAAAATGGTGATTGCTCAAGAACAGAGTGGGAGGGATGAATGTGGTAGAACCACCCTGTTCTAATTGTGTAATCCTATCCCTGGTAGCAGTAAGTCTGCATAGGTGCCAATCCTTAAAGCGGAGCTCCACCCAAAAGGGGAAGTTCCGCTTTAAGGACTGCTCCCCGCTCCCCATTAAGAGTTGGCACCTTTGGGGGGGCGCTGCTCCCACTTCTGGTCTGATCGCCTAGGCAATCGGAAAGGTGTCCTCCCTCCCTGTAGTCTTTTGGGACACGTGACAGGTCCCAGAAGACTACAGGAAAATTCAGGAAGTGCAGCGCAACTTGCGCATGCGCAGTGGGTGCCCGACTGTGAAGCCGCAAGCCATCACAGCCGGGTGCCCATACAGAAGATGCCGGTCTCCTGGAATACAGGACAGCTGGTGAAACGGGCTGCAGGGAACACACCGTGGGACAGGTAAGGGGCTGGTTTTTTTTTTTTTAAAAGTCAGCAGCTACAGTTTTTGTAGCTGCTGACTTATTTTTTGACAGCGTGAGTGGAAATCCGCTTTAAACTTACATAGTAAATAGTTGTTTAATGAGTTCTAATAACTCCCAGTTTGTTTACCAGTGAGTGATGGGGGGTCAAAACACAGATACTGGTTTGTGTGGTTAGGTTTGCAGACCCAAACAACCATAACACACAGAACTGATGAGGACTTGTCCATGTGCTTCTGACTGAGACACCATAAAATGAAAATTATGTCCTCAATGTGTCCAGCTCTCCTCAGTTTTGGCCCTTTAAGGGATTCAAGATAAGGATGTGGCACCCTAATGAACTGGAGTTGGACAGCAAAGATATGCAGTAAGCACTGTACTGAGTAATGCATGATTAACAATAAGGAGATGGGGGGGGGGGTTGGGACTAAGACCTGGAAACAACTGCGTCCCCCCCCCCGGAGGCATAAACCAACAGCACATACTTAGACTAATACAGGATTAACAAAAGATGGATAGTCATGTTCATCTCTAGCATTCCACTACTACGGTATGTTATTAAATAAAGAACAGTGCAGACATAAACTAGTTACCTGTGAAAGAAAGCTGTGAGGCTGAGAAAGGTGATCTCCCCCAATCCAGAGGACACGCTGGCAAAGACCACACCTGGGGGGGGACAGAGACATCAGTCTTTATGAGACAAATACAGAAGCTGCAATTGCCGAACCTTCTAAAAGTGCCAGTTGCCGGGCTGTTGCACTGATCTACTTTCTCAGTCACTGACAGACCAAGAATGAAGGGGAATAGAGTTCAGAATAAAAAAAAATGAAAATCAGAATTCCTTATCTGGCATACTTGGGCTGGAATCATAGTACTGAAAAGTAAAACAAAAAGAGCACCAACCTTGCTGATTACCTCAATGTGATTTTATTATAATGAGATATATACTCACAAACAAAGAAGTAAAAGAATATTGAAGTGCAAGACCTGAGCGAACTCTGAGGAAGAAGGGACCCCCCTTCGAAACGCGTCAGTAGAAATTTGAGAGTCTCCCCCTTGATGTGACTCACACTTCAATGTTCCTTTGAGGATCTTATACGCTTGTTTTACTTCGTGAGTATACATCTCATTTTAATAAAATCACAGTTTGAGGTAATGCGCAAGGTTGGTGCGCTCTTTGTTTTACTTTGCAGCACTGAACAGGCTTCCCCAGCCTTGTTAAGAGCTGCACAACCTTTGATCCATTGGTGGACAAACTTCCATAAGTGGTCTTCCCACCCATCCACCCTTGATCTGGGTCCCTGAGCACGAGGTGTTGTTTCTGTTATCACAGAACTGAAGCCAGAAGGCTGGTGTGGCAGCCAGGCAAATTTTTTCAAACGTGGACTATATGTTTCTGCTGTCACAGGGTTCCAGTAAAGCAGAACATCATGAAAATTGCCAAGCACAGAGAAGAGATGGCTATGGGATTTAAATGTTCTACACAGGGGGACCCCCACACACACACACACACACACACACACACACAATATATATATTTTATACTCAACCCAACCACGGCACCACCTGCTTGGAGTTTGCATGTTCTCCCTGTGCCAGCGTGGGTTTCCTCTGGGTATTCCGGTTTCCTCCCACACTCCAAAGACATGCTGGTAGGTTAATTGGCACCTGTCTAAAATTGTCCCTAGTATGTGTATGTATGAATGCAAGTTAGGGAGCTTAGAGATTGTAAGCCCCTTGAGGGTTAGGGACCTTAGATTGTACGCCCCTTGAGGGTTAGGGACCTTAGATTGTACGCCCCTTGAGGGTTAGGGACCTTAGATTGTACGCCCCTTGAGGGTTAGGGACCTTAGATTTTACGCCCCCTGAGGGTTAGGGACCTTAAATTGTACACCCCTTGAAGGTTAGGGACTGATGTGAATGTACAATATATATGTAAAGCGCTGCATAAAATTCATGGCGCTATAGAAGTAACTGAAATAAAATAAACAAAATACTCACCCAACAGGCTCACTGCTATGTGTGTGGAGAAGGACACAAGCAGGAAACTGCTGGCTGCAGTGATGATACACACACACACCCTGTAACTGAGAGACAGGAGACATGTTTCAAGAAACATCACAATGGGCAACCATGTGCTGGTACAATGGTGAACTCTGCCACGCTGCAATATTAGGCTCAATTCTAACTACAGTTGTGTCTGCTTGGAGTGAGTGTATTCCTCTACTAGTTGGCTAGCTGGCCTCTGACTTAATTATCATGTTTTGTGACTGTGGTGGGAACATTAGAGTGTAAGCTCCTCTGCTGCAGATATTGATGTGACTGGCTCAATATTCTCAGTACAGCACTGCGGTATATGTCAGATCTATATAGATGTATAATAATAGTGTGTGACTGTGGGGGAGGGGACATTAGAGTGTAAGCTCCTCTGGTACAGAGTGTGACTGGCTCAGTGTTCTCTGTACAGCGCTGCGGTATATGTCAGAGCTATATAAAAGTATATTATTGTGTGACTGTAGGAGGACATGAGAGTGTAAGCTCCTCTGCTGCAGAGACAGATGTTACTGGCTTAGTGTTCTCTGACTGCAGTATATGTCAGAACCACATAAAAAGTATAATAATGTGTCATTGTAGGAGGACATTAGAGTGTAAGCTCCTCTGCTGCAGAGAATGATGTGACTGGCTCAGTGATCTCTGTACAGCGCTGCGGTATATGTCAGATCTATATAAATGTATAATAATAGTGTGTGACTGTGGGGGGAGGGGACATTAGAGTGTAAGCTCCTCTGGTACAGAGTGTGACTGGTTCAGTGTTCTCTGTACAGCACTGCGGTATATGTCAGAGCTATATAAATGTATAATAATAATAGTGTGTGACTGTGGGGGAGGGGACATTAGAGTGTAAGCTCCTCTGGTACAGAGACTGATGTGACTGTGGGAGAGGGGACAGAGTGTAAGCTCCTCTGGTACAGAGACTGATGTGACTGTGGGGGAGGGGACAGAGTGTAAGCTCCTCTGGTACAGAGTGTGACTGGCTCAGTGTTCTCTGTACAGCAATGTGGTATATGTCAGAGTTATATAAAAGTATATTATTGTGTGACTGTAGGAGGACATGAGAGTGTAAGCTCCTCTGCTGCAGAGACAGATGTGACTGGGGGAGGGGACATTAGAGTGTGACTGGCTCAATATTCTCTGTACAGCACTGCAGTATGTCAGTGCTATATAAACGTATTATAATAATAGTGTGTGACTGTGGTCGGGAAATTAGAGTGTAAGCTCCTCTGCTGCAGAGATTGATGTGACTGGCTCAGTGATCTCTGTACAGCACTGTGGTATATGCCAGAGCTATAGAACTATTAAAATAATAATAGTGTGGCTGGAACATTAGAGTGTAAGCTCTTCTGGTGACTGATGTGACTGGCTCAGTGTTCTCTGTACAGCACTACAACATATGTCAGAGCTACATAAAAGTATAATATGTGACTGTGGTAGGACATTAGAGTGTAAGCTCCTCTGCTGCAGAAATTGATGTGACTGACTCAGTATTCTCTGTACAGCATTATGGAATATGTCAGAGCTATATACAGTAAATGTACAATAATATTAGTGGGTAGATTTACTAAAGCTGGTTCACTCAGAATCTGGTGCAGTTGTGCATGGTAGACAACCTGCTTCTAACCTCAGCTCGTTCAATCAAGCATTGGCAGTAAAACCTGGAAGCGGATTGGTTTCTATGCAGAAGTGAACCTGATATTGCACTCTTCAACTTTAGTAAATAAAGCCCAGTGTGTGACTGAGGGGGGGGGGGGGGGGGGACATTAGAGTGTAAGCTCCTCTATTGCAGAGACTGATGTGAATCGCTCAGTGTTCTCTGTACAGCACTGCGGTATATGTCAGAGCTATAGAAATGTATAATAATAATAGTGTGTGACTCTGGGGGGACATTAGAGTGTAAGCTCCTCTATTGCAGAGACTGATGTGAATCGCTCAGTGTTCTCTATACAGCACTGCGGTATATGTATGAGATATAATAAAATGTTGGTAAATAACAGACATGTCACTTACTTGTATGGAACCCGCTCTATGTAAAATGGCGCAGTAAATTTAATGAACAGCGTGGGCAAAATGTCAGCCATGAGGACGGCCTGTAGGAGAGAAAAATGATCCAAAAAGATATAAGAAGCAGAAACGGAAATAAAGTGACAGAGAAACAGAAAGGTAAACCTCATCTTTATGATTAAACAATAGCTGTGAATGGCAAGTCGGATGAATACATACAGCGGTGGAAATCTGATTGCAGTCATATCGGCTGCTGGTGGAGTTGGTAACATTCGCCTAGAATTAAAAAAAAAAACGACATTAATTAAATCTGACCTCCAGTCTTTCACAGTTGTACCGGCTCCTCTCCTGAACTGAAAATGGCTTGCTCTGACATAACTGCACACTGTGAGCTTCTCACAATGTGCATTAGAAGCTGCAGCAGGTCAGATGGGGACGCCCTCATTTCCTGGTCCTTTCAGTTGTTGAGTTTCAATGCTTTCAGTCATGGAGGATCAGCATTATATGTGGGTATGCCAATGCAGCCCTCCTAGGAATGCACACCCCTTCAGACTGACATCTACCCATCAAGCTATTTTTATATATTTGTATAATCCCTTCTAAAAGCCAGTCAACTGCTTGCGTCAGGGCTGAGGGCTCTTGGAGCTGTGATGTTTTCAGCAGGCAATGTACAGCACCTTGCTGACTCCTCCCACCGGCCATGATATGCCTGCATTACATAAAGAAGAACAGAGACCCAGTGATTAAGCCAATCGGTCTAAAATAAGGTATGTAATGAAAATGCAATTCTTTTATTTAAAAAGTTCATTAGCATATTAACTACCTGCCGACCGCAGATAGCCAAATGACGGCTGCACTGCGGCCGGCCAGTTCTGAGTGGACGTCATATGACGTCCTCCCAGAACGCGCTCTCCTGGGGCGCGCACTCGGCGATCTCCGTGATCGCTGTGTCCTACAGACACAGCTGATCACGTGATGTGGTAAAAGGCCAATCACAGCGGCCTTTTACCACGTGATCAGCGGTGTCCAATGACACGCTGATCAGAGGGAAATGCAAGTGCCGGTTCTCGGCTGCACTTTCCTCACGTTGTCAGATCGTGAGGAAAGTACTGCCGAGAACCGTCAGTTGTCAGAGCGAGGATCGGCACCGATCATCAGGGCACCGATGATCAGTGCCCTGATGATCGGTGCCCAGCAGTGCCACCCGCAAGTTCCGCCCAGCAGTGCGCCCACTAGCTCCGCTTACCTGTGCCCAGCAGATCACCCAGCTGTGCCCAGCAGTTCACCCACCTGTGCCACTCTGCAGTGTCACACACCTGTGCCCACCCACCAGTGCTGCCCAGCAGTGCCACCCACCAGTGCAGCCCAGCAGTGCTGCCAGTCAGTGCCACCAGTCAGTGCCCAGGGGTTGTGCCAGTCAGTGCCCAGCAGTGATGCCAGTCAGTGCCGTCTATCAGTACCGATCAGTGTCACCTATCGGTGCCGCATATTAGTGCCGCCTATCCGTGACACCTCATTAGTGCTGCCTATCAGTGCCGCCTATCCGTGCCACCTCATTAGTACTACCTATCAGTGCCCTTTAGTGCTGCCTATCAGTGCCCATCAGTAGTGCCCATCAGTGCTGCCTCATCAACGCACATCAGTGAAGGAGAAAAAAATACCTGTTTGAAAAATTTTATAATAGAAACAAAGAAACTTTTTTTTTTTTTCCAAATTTTTTTCACTTTATTTTATTTATAGCGCAAAAAGTAAAGCGCCCAGTGGCGATTAAATACCACCAAAAGAAAGCTCTATTTGTGAGAAAAAAATGATCAAAATTTCATATGGGTACAATGTTGCATGACCGCGCAACTGTCAAAGTGCGGCAGCGCTGAAAGCTGAAAATTGGCCTGGTAAATAAGGGGTATAAGTGCCTGTTAGGCAAGTGGTTAAGGAGGAGGGAGAAGGAAATGGTAGCAAAATGGAAGCAGGTCAAAGGTGAACTAAGGTAAGTAAAATAAAAAAAACATACCTACTTACCTCCATGCTAGTGCATCTGTGTGATTTTGCAGATATCCTATGCCAGCTGTATGTATGGCAACTCTGCAAACACATGACCACTGATCTCTCGTTAGTGGAGAGCAGTGACTGTCAGTTTACTGCTCTGCTCCTCCAGCACCCAGTGGAGCAGCAGGCTGGGGGAAGGGGTGGACGCAGCTTGCTCTGGCACTCAGCTGCACACTAAAAGGCAGAGCAATCTATCAAGCAGGTGGATCCCGACAATATTGCCTGGCACAGCTCTGCCCTATCAGCTGACAATAGCCCGCTACTAGCTGACTGTGGGTCACAGGAGAATAGTAAATGTACTCCTGAGATCCACAAGAGAAGTACAACCAAAAATCTTTGGTCATATTTCTCGTTAAAACTTCTTTTAACTTACTTTAAGTGTATATACTGACCTTGCTAAAAACACGACGACATTTCTAAACAAGACTCATGCATTGCAAGTGGATTCTGCCAATCAGCACCTGCCCCAGGATCACTCACCGTTGAAGTCTCATTGGTCTCTGTGTGGAGGATGTCATGGGCTGCACTCAGCATCACCACATAGGCAAAGTTATTACATAGACCCAGCAACCTGTGAGACAAGGAGGGACATATGGGACACAAAAATGTGACACAACAAGTTTCAAATATTTTCCATATAAACTGAACCTGTCAAGTAGAATTACTAAATACTACCCCCCTCCGTGCAGTTGCCCGCAATAGCATAACAGTGTGTCTTGTGGAATGGTAGGTGTGGCCAAATGGTGCTTACAGTGGGAAAGCCTAAAGAGGCATAAAAAAACAAAAAACAAACAAAACAAAACAAAACAAAACAAAAAAACAGCCTACACTGTTCTGGGTCAAGAGATCGTACACAGAGTGCAAGGGTCAGGGATAAGTGACGCACAGAGTGCAAGGGTCGGGAATAACTAACACACAGAATGCAGGGGTCAGCAATAAGTAATATCCAGAATACAGGGGTCAGCAATAACAGTGTGCAAGTGTCAGAAATAAACACAGTGTGCAGGGGTCAGGAATAAATAACATGCAGAGTGTAAGGGTCAGGAATAAGTAACATGCAGAATGCAGGGGTCAGCAATAAGTAACAGTGTGCAAGTGTCAGGAATAAATAACACAGCGTGCAGGGGTCAGCAATAAATAACATGCAGAGTGTAAGGGTCAGGAATAAGTAACATGCAGAATGCAGGGGTCAGCAATAAGTAACAGTGTGCAAGTGTCAGGAATAAATAACACAGCGTGCAGGGGTCAGGAATAAATAACATGCAGAATGCAGGGGTCAGAAATAAGTAGCATGCAGAGTGTAAGGGTCAGGAATAAGTAATATCCAGAATACAGGGTCAGCAATAAGTAACATGCAGAATGCAGGGGTCAGAAATAAATAACACAGCGTGCAGGGGTCAGCAATAAAACAGAATGCAGGAGTCAGGAATAAATAACATGCAGAATGCAGGGGTCAAAATTAAGTAATGCACAGAGTGCAGGGGTCAGCAATAACATACAGAATGCAGGGGTCAGGAATAAGTAACATACAGAATGCAGGGGTCAGGAATAAGTAATGCACAGAGTGCAGGGGTAATGCAGGTATCACCTCATGTGATCAACATGTTATTGCATTCTATGCTTCTAGTTTGACACCTGCTGCTCTCTGCAAGTATCTTCTGATATGTAGAGGACACGTGTTCAGAAAGGTTACTCAAACAGGATCACTTTTGTATCAATCCTCACATGGTTGATGTCTCATGCAGTGGGAATTCATAAACCTATGCTCAAAATTGACACAGTGTCTAAGTAGAATGAACACTAACAGTGCTTCAGTAAACATACTAACTACACGTGCCATACAGCAAATAAAGGCTCTAACCGGGCCTAAACATCTCAGGAATGTGTAAATATAAGAGATACAGCGGGTAAAATAAGTATTGAACACCTCACCATTTTTTCTCAGTAAATAGATTTTTAAAAGGTGCTACTGACATGAAAAATTCCCCACATGTCTGTAACAACCCATGCAATCCATACATACAAAGAAACCAAAATAAATAATTTCAGAAATTAAGTTATATGTAATAAAATGGAATGACACGGGGAAAAAGTATTGAACACGCTAACTGAAATTTAATACTTGGTACAAATTCCTTTGTTGGTAATGACAGCTTCAAGCCGCCTCCTGTATGGAGAAACGAGTCGCAGGAATTGCTCAGGTGTGATTTTGGCCCATTCTTCCACAGTCTTCAAATCTTGAAGGTTCCGTGGGCCTCTTCTATGAATGTTGATCTTTAGTTATTTCCATAGATTTTCTATTGGATTCAAGTCAGGAGATTGGCTGGGACATTCTAGAAGTTTTTTGTTCTTTCTTGCTTAGAAACCAATTGAGAGTTTCCTTGGCTTTGTGTTTGGGATCATTGTCTTGCTGAAATGTCCGCCCTCGTTTCATCTTCATCCTCCTGGTAGATGGCAGCAGATTTTTATCAAGAATGTCTTGGCACATTTTTCCATTTCATCCTTCCTTCAATGAGATGAAGTTTGCCAGTACCGTCTGCTGATAAACAGCCCCCACACCATGATGTTCCCACCTCCATGCTTCACTGTTGGGATGGTGTTTTTGGGGTGATGTGCAGTGCCAAGTGTCCTCCAAACATGGTTTGTTTTATGACATCCAAAGAGTTCAATTTTGGTCTCATCTGACCAGACTATATCCTCCCAGTATTTCACAGGCTTGTCTAAATGTTGTGCAGCAAACTTTAAACGTGCTTCAACATGCTTTTTCTTCAGCAATCTTGCACGTTGACATGCATACAGGCCATGGTGGTTGAGTGCATTACTTATTGTTTTCTTAGAAACAATTGTACCTGCTAATTCCAGGTCTTTCTGAAGACCTCCACAAGTGGTCCTTGGCTTTTGGACAACTCTTCTGATAATTCTTTTCACTCCTCTGTCAGAAATCATGTGAGGAGCACCTGGTTGTGGCCAGTTTTTGGCAAAATTATTTTCCTTCCACTTCCGGATTATGGCCCCAACAGTGCTCACTGGAACATTCAGAAGTTTAGAAATCCTTCTGTAACCAATGCCATCAGTGTGTTTTTCAACAATAAAGTTGCGAAGGTCGAGAGAGCTCTTAGCTTTTACCCATCATTAGATGTTTCTATTGTGACACCTTCGTAATGAGACATTTTATAGCCCATTATGACAAGGCGCAGGATTTCTAATTACTGATAGAACTCAGCTGGTGTCTTGGCTCTCCATGCCTTTTTGCACCTCCCTTTCTTCATGTGTTCAATACTTTTCCTCTGTGGCATTCCATTTTATTACACATAATTTAACCGCTTCCCGACCACCCTATAGCAAAAATACTGCTACAGGGCAGCACGGGTGTGCGAAATCATGTATATACGCGATTTTGCATCCCGGGGTAGGAGGCATGCATGAGCTGCGCGCGTGCCCTACCCACACCGCCATTCGCGGGCCGTCAATCACCGGGTCCCAGCCAGTAATTACCCACCGGTGCCCGGTGATTACCAAGCATCTCCGACAGGGAGGAAGACTGTTTTATTTACTAACAGTCTTCCTCCCTGTCAGCTCGGCACAGCACAGCCATCCATAGCAGTGTGATTACAGTGAAGCACCCCTCCCCGCCACCTAGTAAAACACTCCCTACACAGTTAACCCTTTGATCGCCCCTCATATTAACCCCTTTTCTTCCCCAGTGCCATTAGTACAGTGTCAGTGCTGCCATCCGTCAGTGTTACTGGGGGATGGCAGTGACACCAAGTCAGTTCCCCCCAAGTCAGGTCAGGAGGGTAAGTGGTTAATTAATGAACTTTTTGGTTTTGGTTTCTTTATATGTATGGATTGCATGGGTTGTTACCGACATGTGGTGAACATTTCATGATGATAGCACCTTAAGAAATATATTACTGAGAAATGGGTGGCGTGTTCAATACTTGCTTTACCCGCTGTATGTGGACAGTCAGGTTTTGCTAATCAGCAGTTTCATATTCTCCAGAAACTCGGTGTGAAATTGCCTCAAGGTTCCCCATATCTGTGCTGCAGAGTAAAAGAGAAAAATGTCTCCCTCAGGCTAATGAACAGGCGATTTGGAAGCTGTGCTCACTGTTTGGATCCTGAGGCGCAGTGAAGATGATCTCAGGATGGGAGTTGCTTGCTTTAACCCCTTTGCTTCGGCGCCTTCTGGCCCTTTAAGTTTCAGAAGCCGGGAGGCGGGGTGGAGTTTTAGAGTCATGTGACCGTCGTGATTCGCTGTCACATGATCGGAAAAGGTCCCGATCGCAAGGGGGAGATCGGGACCTTTCTGTGAGTCACAGACATATGTACTGTGAGCGTGCATGGCGCCCGCTCTCAGCACATATGTATTTTCAAATGGTACGAAATATGAGGCCGCTCAAGGCCCAGACGCAGAGAGGCCGCATATTTGCATCTAGGGGTTAAAGACCAGTGACAGATTGGATAGAAGTGGGGACAACCCGAAGGCTCAAGTTAAGAGAACACTTAATTAGGGGCCAAGATAACCTCATTCCTTCTTAAAGGTCCAGAGACACAGCCAGGAGAAAAGGGGATCATTGCTTAATGCAGAACTCGTCTCTTGTTAAAAAAAAAAAAAAAAATAAAAGTCAGCAGCTACAAAAACTGTAGCTGCAGACTTATAAAACAGCCACTTACCTGTCCCAGGATCCAGCAATGTGCTCACTGCAGTCAGGTTCACTGGCCGTCCTGTGTCCCCGGTGCCAGCATCTTAAGTGTGGGTACCCAGCTGTGACAGCTTGCGGCTTCCCAGCTGCGTGCCCACTGAGCATGCGTGAGCAGCACACAACGCTTTGTGAATGGTTCCTCATTCTTCTGGGACCTGTCATGTGCCCCAGAAGACTGCGGACGGGGGGCCTAGGTGGGCAAAGCAGAAGTGGGAGCAGGTACCTGTCAAAATCAGTACCCACTCACCTTCCCCCCCAGCTCCCCCAAGGTGCCAATCCTTAACAGAGAGTGGGGGAAGAGTCTTTAAATCTGAACTTCCCCTTTTGGGTGGAGCTCAGCTTTAAAGGATTTGGCACAGGACAGCCAGATTCTTTGTTAGACATTTGTTGGTTTATGGGCGGCCAATAAAAAAAGCTGTTCTTACCAAAAGGCTGCCAAGTTTCTCCAGTGGGATCCAGTCTCAGCCTGTGGTGCTGCTGATCCTTCTTCTTTCACTTCTTCCTCTGCATCGTCTATAAATAAAACAGAATGCCTATTAGAAGCCTACATTGGTGAAGCACAGGTTCAGTTTAAAGGGCAACTCTACCTTTTGTACAGTTGTCCTTTAATAGACCCCCAACACACCCTCCTGAGGTGTAAAAGTACATACCTTTCTCTCCATTTCAGCAATATTTCCTGTGCAGCTCTGCCTGATGCCTCACAGCCTTAGCAATGCTAATGTCCCCTCGTGTCCTGGTACAGCTTTCCCATAGACATGCATAGAGCTGCAGCATGATATGCAGTAAGAAGAGGACTGTTTTTGTTGCCAAGGCTGAGTGGTGCTGGAATGGAGAGAAGGTAGGTACACTATATTGCCAAAAGTATTAGTCAGCCTGCCTTTCCACGCACATGAACTGTAATGGCCTCCCAGTCTTAGTCCATAGGGTTCAATATTGAGTTGGCCCCGCCCTTTCCACGCACATGACCATTAATGGCCCCCCAGTCTTAGTCCGTAGGGTTCAATATTGAGTTGGCCCCGCCCTTTGCAGCTATAACAGCTTCAACTCTTCTGGGAAGGCCGTCCACAAGGTTTAGGAGGGTGTCTATGGGAAGGTTGGACCATTCTTCCAGAAGCACATTTGTCAGGTCAGGCACTGATGTCGGGGGAGGAGGCCTGGCACACAGTCTCTGCTCTAATTCATCCCAAAGGTGTTCTATGGGGTTGAGGTCAGGACTCCGTGCAGGACAGTCAAGTTCCTCCACCCCAAACTGGCTCCTCCATGTCTTTATGGACCTTGCTTTGTGCACTGGTGGGCAGTCATGTTGGAACAGCAAGGGGCCATCCCCAAACTTTTTCCCACAAAGTTGGGAGCATGAAATTGTCCAAAATGTCGCCTTAAGAGTTCCCTTCACTGGAACTAGGGGGCCAAGCCCAACCCCTGAAAAGCAACCCCACACCATAATCCCCCCTCCACCAAACTTTACACAATGCAGTCAGGCAAGTACCATTCTCCTGGCAACCGCCAAACCCAGACACGTCCATCGGATTGCCAGACAGAGAAGCGTGATTGGTCACGCCTGAGAAAACACCTCTCCTCTGCTCTAGAGTCCAGTGGCGGCGTGGCGTGCTTTACACCACGGCATCCGCCGTTTTGCATTGCACTTGGTGATGGAAGGCTTGGATGCAGCTGCTCGGCCATGGAAACCCATTCCATGTAGCTCTCTACGCACTGTTGTTGGGCTCATCTGAAGGCCACACCAAGTTTGGAGGTCTTTAGCTATTGACTCTGCAGACAGTTGGTGACTTCTGCGCACTGTGTGCTTCAGCATGCGCTGACCCCGCCCTGTCATGTGACGTGGCCTACCACTTGGTGGCTGAGTGACTGTTGTTCCCAGTTGCTTCCACTTTGTTATAATCCCACTAACAGTTGAGCGTGGAATATTTAGTAGCCAGGAAATGTCACGGATGGACTTATTGCCCAGGTGGCCACCTATCACGGGACCACGCTTGGAGTCACTGAGCTCCTGAGAGCGACCCATTCTTTCACCAATGTTTGTAGAAGCAGTCTGCATGCCTAGGGGCTTGATTGTATACACCTGTGTCCATGGAGGGGATTGGAAGGCTGGCCATACATTATACAATTATCTTCCAATTTTCTTTAGATTTACCTTCAACTATGTAGTGCAAGGGCCGGCCTAATTGGCTACAACTGAAAGTGTTGTTTAGGTTTGTCCTCCTATTATATGGTTTTTGGTAAATCTAAACCAAAAATCTCCATATAATTGTATAATGTATGGCCAGCCTAACACCTGAATCACAGGATTTGGGGGGGGGCGAGCACGATACGTCTGGCAATATAGTGTATATTGCACAGCACCCGAGGTTGGGGTGAGGCCTGATTATAGTACACTTGTTCTTTAAAAATGGTCTTTTCACGAAGGGGGTAAAACCTTCCAGAGGTCAAGTGGTTAAGAAACAAAAAAAAAAAAACAAAAAAAAAAAAAAAACAAACATCAATAGGAAATAATAGCATTATATTACAGTATATCTTCTGAAAAGCAGAACAAATGATAACAATGTCTGCCTTCTGTGACAAACAGGCTAAGTCACCAAATCTGCGAATGTCCCTGGAAATATGAACCATCTGGTGACTCTCCAGCTACAATGCACTGCGTAACAAAGGCCACAAAGACATGCTGGGATTGCTAGTCCCACAACAGCCCCCGCCCGGTTACTGCTACCCCCCACCCCAGCAAAGATGTGCCCCTCTCACCCTCCCAGTCGGAGTCTGAGGTCCCCCCAGTGTCGTACACCCTCCTCTCCATCTTCACCCTTCCAGCTCTGTACATATATTCCACTTCCTGAAGGGGAGGGCTCTTCCTGGTTCCTGGGAACACCCCTGTCTGGTTACTGTTACCAGGGAAGGGAAGCTTTAAAGGGCCAGTGTCCAGGGAATGTGCAAAGAGCTGCATCCCAGGATCTGAAGTCATAGAAAGGCCACTGAGGTCCAAATATCGCCCTCAGTTTCTAGGGACAGACGTGATTTGTCCTTGGAAATATCAATATCCCACCGTAATACAATTCCCTCTCTTAGATAGGAGGTCTTGCTGCTGGAGAATTCAAGATTTATAAGAAGTCAGGAGCAGGGGCGGACTGACAGCTCATGGGGCCCCTGGGCAATAGGGGATCATGGGGCCCCTGTGTCCTTGCCCAAACTCAAAAAAGCCTATGAAAAAGGTACGGGGCATCTCATGGGGCCCCCTACTGACTCGGGCCCTCGGGCAGTGCCCGAGTTTCCAAATGGTCATTCCACCCCTGGTCAGGAGCAGAGTTCACCTAATATTGAAATATTACTTTTGGGTGACTGGCACTTAATACAAAAAAAAAAAAAAATGTTCCTGAAACCTCAGGGCCTCTTCCCATCAGATACAATGGAAATCGCACAGATAAATCCATCATATGTATACGTGTTTGCATGCAATTTGCAATGCGTTGTGTTTTGTGAAATGTCGCTTTTTTGCATGCAATAAGATGCATTTTTTTAAACTGTATTTTTTTCAAAGACCTGCATTCACATGCACTGCGTCGCGGCAACACGTATGTACACATGGTGTTGCAGAAAAATGCAGGCTGCTCCGCTTTCTTCAAACACATGTATCTGCAAGGCATTGGTGTGTACTACACCTATTGGGAAACATTTGTTTTTATTGTCATTGAGTTTGGTATACATTTATCCGAGCGCATCTGGTGTGAACAGGCCCTTAATGTGCCATGAAGGAATATGGAAGCTGCCATTAGTGACCCCTGACCCTAGGTTCACACCTATGCGGCCGCGTTTTGCACGGGCACGAGAGCCCATTCATTTGAATGGATTCCTGTGACACGCAGGGAAAGAAGACCCTGCACTACTTTAGAAAATGCAGCCCGCACAGGAAAAAAAAAAAAAAAAAAAAAAAAAAAAACGCAGCAAGGAACTATAATGTGTTTGAACAATGCATTGCAGTACATTCACATCACACACCAGGGCACATGTGTTAGACACACAGTAAGATGTGATGTGAGGTGTGAATGAGCCCCAAATCTCTTCCAATAACTATTATGGATGCAAAGTACTAATCTTATTCTGTGTTCTAAACGTATTTTTAGACAAAACATTACAACCCACACTGGGACGAGATCATCCAGCGCCCAGGGCAAAGATGCCAAATTGCGCCCCGCCCCTTTGCAATCTTGAGAGGGAGCCCACACCTCCTCCTGGCTCTCTCCTCCTCTCCTTGACTGTCACAGATCCACCCCACAGCGACTAGCTAACCAAGGCACGCACGTCCGGCTGTGACTTGGGGTAAGAGGGACTTACTTTGAATATATACAGGGAGACTACTCCAATCCAGCTGGCTGACCCCCACGCACACACACCACCACCCCCCCCACACGCCCCCCCGCACGCCCCCCCCCCCGCACGCCACGCACACACGCACGCACCACCACGCACGCACACCAATACAATACAATCTCTCCGGAGATATGAGCCCCAGCTTAAGTACCCAGAAGTCACTTATTAATTTTATGATTTAATATCCTGAAAGTGGGCAGAGCATAAAATATGTACAAAGTATAAAAAGTGACAGAAAATACAAGACACACAATTGGCTATTGACTATACAATAAAAGGGAGTAAAAAAAACAAGTAAAACTTCTACCAAGAGTTATCCTGCGACTGGAGCAAGTCAGAGAAAGTCTGCGATCTGCCAGTTGATAGAACTAGCTCCATATGAATCACAACGTCCATATCTCAGGGTCCTCAATTATATGGGAATATGGACGTAGGCTGGACATTAGTCCTTGGCCAATCGACTCGGGGGGGTGTTCCTGTACCAGCCCACAGGACATTCTGAGTACTGAAATGCCCGAAGTCGATTGGACCAGGAACAGTTTGAATCACCAAGTCAGGGATTGAATTTTCTGACACCAGCGCATCAGTCCGATCGCGACAGTACCAATCGCTGTTCAGCTGTCGCAATCAGGTGCAATATAACCGTTTTCTGCATTTCTCTGGGATTCTACATAGGCTACAAATACAGTTTTACATGCAGATGTAGCCTACAGTGTATCCAATCAGAAGGAAGGATTTTCATCTCTCTGCAACTAATATTTTAGCTTTTATGAGAGATGAAATATATTCCTTTGATCTGCTGATATACTTTAGAGCTCCTAGACAGATCGGAGCCTTCTCTTGGTCTCCTGCTGCCTCTGAAGCCGAAATGTCTAGAAGTAGGTGACAAGTCTTATTGGCATCTAGGTGTCACCTCCAGCCCAGAGGATGCTCTGTGTTTTCAGATGTTGAGTGGTGATCATATGTCTCTGAACACATCCTATTAACATGGAATGAAGCTAAATCTACAGTCATATTTCTACTGATCACATCCCAGCTACTCAAACCTGACATTTATGTTACATTGCTGCTTCCAGCGGTGGGCTGACACAAGCAGTGATGCCACTGTCACTACTCCTGTCCACCTCTTGTCCCAACCCTGATTACACAATAAATAGATATATGATCAATCGATGAATAGATAGTCATCCACATCTGGGGACAAAAACCATGCAAGGAAAATTCATTAATGTCCCTGGAAATTTGGGACAACTGGTGACTTCCCTCCTACAATGCACACGTGCACTGAGTAACAAAGGCTACCAAGGTATGCTGGGGCTTGTAGTATCAGAGTGACTTTGTAAGTTTAATCCCCCCCATCCTCCCGGAGGGATCTGCCGCTCTCACCCTCATCATTGGAGTCAGGCCTCCCTCTGATGCTGGGTATCTCAGTCATTGTCCACGTGAACTCTCTCATCTTCAACATCTCTGTTTTTAGATAGATAGATAGATAATTATTGATAGATAGTGAGGGATTAGCCCAGTAGCAGGTTGTGCTTGACCCCCTGGATGGGTCAGAACACTGAAAGAGGCTCAGCACAACAGCAGGATCTTGGTGGATAAAGTTGTGCTTTATTTACAAGTGTGGTGAACACACAGTGCATATAGTCAAAACAGCAAAAAAAAAAAATACAAACAGAAAATAAAACCTTGCCACATTGGGCATCTAACTGCAAACACAGGTCCCTATATAGCTGTCTGAATACAGCCTATCGCTGCTCAGACACAGTGTTCACACAGTCTCAGATCACACAGATTATCTCTCACCACAGGCCGGTTTGGTTGCTCCCCAGCCTGCCCTGCACAGCATCTGGTTCCAGGTTGGAGCATTCTCCCTAAGCAGCCTGGGAGTTTTATAGATTCCAGAGCCTTCACTCACTACACCTGAGCTAATCAGTGAGCCACACAGGCCGACTACACAGCACAACAGGAGAAACAGTCTGTGTAAAGCAGTGGTCCTCAAACTACGGCCCACGGGCCACATGCGGCCCGCCGATGACATTTATCCGGCCCGCCGGGCAGGGGCGTATCTGCCACGAGGCAAGAGACTAGGGTTTGGCAGGTCGGGAGAGCTCGGCAGGGCTCGGGTGGGGAGGCAGGAGGGTAGGATCAGCAATTCTAGAACAGGGGAAGGTGGGCTCGGCTTATGAACCCGCACCACTCACCTGGCCTCTCTGCAACCAGCCAGCCATCTACAGTTGCAAGAAAAAGTATGTGAACCCCTGGGATTACGTGGAGTTTTGCATGAATTGGGCAAAAAATGTGCTCTGAACATCATCTAAGTCACAACAATAGAAGAACACAGTCTGCTGAACATAATACTACACAAACATTAGATGTTGCCATGGTTTAATTGCACATAACATGTAAACATTCACAATGCAGGGAGGAAAAAGTATGTGAGGCCCTAGCTTAATGACTTCTCCCAGAGCTAATTGGAGCAAGGAGTGAGCCAACCTTGACTCCAATCAGTGTGATGATAATGGATGTGTTGCTGACAGCTGTCCTGCCCTTAAAAAACACACACCTGTTTTGGGTTTACTGGTTTCAAGAAGCACTGTCTGATGTGAACCATGCCTCGCAGAAAAGAGCTCTCAGAAGACCTACGATCAAGAATTGTTGACTTGCATGAAGCTGGAAAGGGTTACAAAAGTATCTCCAAAAGCCTTGATGTTCATGTGTCCACGGTAAGACAGACTGTCTACAAATAGAGAAAGTTTAGCACTGTTGCTACTCTCCCTAGGTGTGGTCATCCTGTAAAAATGACTGCAAGAGCACAGCGCAGAATGCTGCATGAGGTAAAGAAGAATCCCAGAGTGTCAGCTAAAGACCTACAGAAATCTCTGGCACATGCTAACATTTTTGTTGACACATCTACAATAAGGAAAACATTAAACAAGAATGGAGTACATGGGAGGACACCACGGAGGAAGCCATTGCTGTCCAAAAAGAATATTGCAGCACGTTTGAAGGTTGCAAAAGAGCACCTGGATGTTCCACAGCACTACTGGCAAAATATACTGTGGACAGATGAAACCAAGACTGAGTTGTTTGGGAAGAACACACAACACTATGTGTGGAGAAAAAAAAGGCACAGCACACTAACATCAAAACCTCATCCCCACTGTGAAACATGGCGGAGGGAGCATCATGGTTTGGGGCTGCTTTGCTGCCTCAGGGCCTGGACGGATTGTTGTCATTGATGGGAAAATGAATTCCAGAGTTTATCAAGACATTTTGCAGGAAAACGTACGACCATCTGTCCGCCAACTGAAGCTCCGCAGAGGATGGGTGATGCAACAGGACAATGACCCAAAGCATACAAGTAATTCAACAAAACAATGGCTGCAACAGCTGTTGGATTTTTAGACACATATAATACTTCTTCTAGTGTCTTGAGGCGATTATGAATGAAAGAGCCATTGAAATAAAAATGAAGTGTGATTTTATTCTATCACACAATGGTGTCAAATAACAATGTAAAGCGTATTATGAACAGTTCCATGTAGATAA